TTTTAGTTGATTTTTGTGTGCAAAATTTTCAACTTCATTTTATTGTTCTGTTCAAATCTTAGGCGATCTAGATTTTAAAAAAATAAATTTTCCATTGCATTATACCAACACCAAACAAAATTTCCTTTCAAGCAAATTCCGAAATTAGAAACTAGGGCCAGAATTTTAAAAAATGCTAGCCAAGAAATGTATAAATTTCCCAGAAAATGAACGGAGGTATACTGAATATACGGAAAACAAATAATAATAATGAATAAAGAAGAATAAAAATTTGTGCACGTATTCATTCTAAAATTATTGGATATTTCTCGCAAAGGACTCCACAATTTCTCAATCTCCGTCACTGGCCTCGCACAGAAAACTACAGGTTTGAGCGCAGGTGACACCGCATTTCAACAGTTTTACTTCAATCTTTAAGCTAAAATGTCCCTGCCCAAGCCTTATGAGCTGAACTTCTGAGGTAAAAGGGACAAACGGGACCAGCATACCAAAAAAATGTCCTCTATCGGGACACTTCAAGGAAGACAAGACTTTCTTTTGTGGGAAAATAAGGATTGGGGAAATTAAGATTGATCTTAAAGTTAGAAGCAAGGATTTTGAACCTTTGCAACTTGTCATTTTCTGCCGTGTTGGTTGAACAATTTTAAGGCTTGTTCAGTTTATTCGAAGTACATTTAAAATACGGAGCGGAAAGAAATTCTGACTTTTACTTTTACTACTTTGGCGGGACTTTCTAAAAAAGTATTGCCTAGTTAGCAAACAGAACTTTGACTTACCAAACTATTGAAAACCTGCACAAGCCACAGACCAATAAAAGATCGGGCCAAAAGGAGTTGGCAAAACAAACAAAAATTTGACTCAATAAACTGATTTTTAGCACATTTCTCAATTTTTTCTTTCTTTCAAAGATCGGATGTTTATCTCTGTTGCATTTTCGAATTCACAGAAAGCCATAAGAATTCAATTGAATTTAAACCTAATAAAAAATTATAGCGTGAAGCACTCATCCTCATTAATACTGCCTAACAAGAAGCAATGTTTAAAAGATTTAGTTGCATTTCATCTAGGAACTGGTGCCAAATTATTTTTATTATTTTATGGGTAAGTATTTGTTGAAAAAGTAAAACTCATCCTCTAGCTGAAGGTTTAACACGTCTTCCTCTGATTTTGAAGAGGATAGAAACGTTGTCAAATCTGACGTTAAAGGACGTCTTCTGCACTGAAAAAGTAATTGTTAGCAATGGAACATTGATAATAAGGACATTAAAGAACCAAGAGACTAAAATATAAACAAAAAAGTCTTAACAATAAGAAAGTGAGCGAAGGTACTTCTGCTATCTAACTTAGCTAGATGAGTTCAACTTAGTGACGAAAAAGTGAAATATTATTTGCTTACTTTTCGGCTGATAGCCAAATTACCGGAATTATGGTCATCGCTTTCAAAACATTTAAGAAGTCATATCTGCCTTTCTAAAGACACTTGCATGGAAAAAATTTTACAACGGCATGGAAAAATTTCGGTGAAATATTGCATTTAGACGACTTCGATGTAAGTTGTTCTGTTTAATCGCTCAAAGAAATGCTTTAAAAGTTCGGGTTCAAAATTAGAAGCAGTTGATTAGGTAATTAGAAAAAAGATGTTTCTTTGTCACGTTTAGGATTAGACTTTTAAAACACTGTATAAAGAAAAATAATGCTTTTCGATTTCCGTAGGTAAAAGTAAAACGTATCTGGTAAGTGCATAACGCTTATTACTTTTTCACTGCGACTGTAGCGAATGACTATCTGCTGAACAAAAACGTAGGTGCAGTAAACAGAAACTATTAACTCATAAATAATAATTTTAAAAAAGGCAAATAATATTGGAACACTGAAAAATAAACGGGAATCGTGACGGTGACTAATTCCACATTAAATTTCGGGCTTTTAATCTAATCGGAGCTTGCTAGGCGAGCTTTCGGGTGTCCTTGTTGTTCTCGAAGTAGTGTTAGAAGACTGAGGTAGTTATTAATATATTGCTCTATTTGAAACTTTCATATCATACGTATCCACTCTGCCCATTTCTTTTTTTTTACGTAAAGCTCGTCAATTTGCTCCTTTCAATGGTTCTTCCTTCTAAAATTGCCTTTTTACACGAATTTGAACAAATAATTCTCTAGACTCTTTTACCTGTTCTAGCTTTGCGCTTCTATTTTAACTTCTGCCATAAGGACTCATTAGTGTTTGCATAATGCTGCTTGCGGTTCTATACATTTATTAGGGTAATTAAATTTTAGGTGCATACAGCCCGTGGAAGCCGCTTTAACCTGGTATAAACTTTCTTCGTATTTAAAATTGCAATTATCCTATGTGAAACGCGTTTTGTCAATGAGTGTGCTAAAGTTTTAATTGCACAGTGCTCTATCAAAATCGTAAAGCATTCTTCTGATTTCCTATACAACTCAACCAAAATCTGCTGCTCATTTCATCTGCCTCTCCTCATCATCTTTCCAACATGTTAGTAGTCTTTTACTTTAGCCGCTCTATAGTGATGATCAAGAGCATACCAAATGTTAATGAAGTAGTTTTTGAGCCATCCAGGATTACTGAAATCACCATCTAGCGGGAGAATTTTGTTTTATAAAAAGATTTCCTTTTTTTTGCAAATTTTAAGTGTTAAGTTGGAGAAACAGGCAAATAACTGCCTGTAAAAGTTGCTATTGGCGTAGCTTTTAAGCGGCGAAAGATAGCACAAGACCTTATTTGATTGTATAAGACGAGGGACACACTGTACATCTAAAGGGCAAGGGGGACGATGAGAAAGGGGAGTTCTGTCACCCGTCTCTAGGTTGGATGACTGTTGTCCTTTGTGACAAAAAAAAGAAAGCCAGTTTTTGCTTTATTAGTCGATATTGAAATTTTTTTTTTTTGATTCCGAGTTCAACAGATAGAGGTGACTGAGAGGCCTGTGAGAACACAACCATATCCTGTCCTGACTTTCACTGCTCTGATTTTTCCAATATCGCCGTTGAAGACGACTGTAATTATTTGTTCTCAAACGCCACAAACAATTTTCGGCATCATCATTAAGTCCATTGATAGTTGGCCAGTACAGTTCAAAAAGCGACAATGTCTTATGAGAGTGTCGCTCCAAAAATCTTTTGAGCGAAATTCAAACTTGGACCTCAGCTTTCAGTGCAATTAGCTGAAAAGCTATGATTTTTATAAAGTTGCACTTTATGTGACTGATTTTCCTCATCCGTTGCCGCTTTTTCAATGCACATGCTTCCGCGTTTCTTAAAACTGCCTTGACTTGCCTACTCGTCAGATCAATCTCATCTCTTTAACCGAAAGTTTCCAAATGCCCTATTCTATTAACGTAATCCAGGAGTGCGCAGAAATGTGGGGAATGCCGCCACCTACTCATTTTACTGTCTCTCTGATATGCAAAAATTTTGCATTTCAGTATTTCTGCTTAAGGTTTCTAGCTATGCTAATAAAATCTCAATCAACCTATACTCGGTAGTTTAGACAAAAGTTTTTCAAAATAATATTCATACTGCAACAAATCTCCATTCAGGAGTATTTGACAACAAACACACCATCAACCTGTCTAGATTCTGAATTCCATTATTTATTCAACTGGAGGTTCTATGCTATAATGTAAAATCCCAAAACAGATTTATGCCCACGAGTATTTGACGACGGAGATAAAAAGTCGAGACACATTTTTGGCACTCTATTTCATACTAACATTATAAAAATAAGCAATTTCAAGGCAACCATACATTAAACTGTATCTTTGTAATATTTTTCTCCGACATCACAGACACTGCAGTTTCCCAAGATCCGAACCGCGAAATAAATTACATTTCACATGTCTCATTAGACTGAATGTAGGTTTTCTAGGCCCTATTGTAATTAAGAGTGCCCACCTCTATACATGCACTTTTCGATCGTCAACTCTATTTCATTTTTTGCGTATGTGGTTTTCGACTCGCCCTCCCCCTCCCCCC